TGAACAGATACTTGCTTTTATCAAAGAAGGGAGTCCTGCAGTTTCATATTTCTACTTAAGTTTATTTAAGGGGTACTAGTATAGTTAACCCAACGGAATTATGAGATAATTTTATGACAGATAATTTTAGCTATAAATTTATAACAATGGAAATGGGCAGATAATCTGCTCCTTTATGAAGTTCCCATCTACCGCTGGAAAAAGCTGAAACAGGAGGTGTGGCTGTGATGTGCCTGAACTTCACCACTAAACAAATACCTCAGGAATGACTTAACAGTTCCTCAGAAAAATATTTTAACAAGAAAGATACTACTTTTCTTATGTAACACCTCATTAAGTGGTACAAAAATATTTCCTATAAGTGCATTACATAAAATTTTAAAATATTAATATTGGTGCATTCCTAGAGTAAAAATAAATTCCTTAATCGGCTTTCAGTGTTTCCAGACATGCCAATGCTTAAAAAGCGCATACCTCGTGGTATTTTTTGGTGACTTTTGTTGGTACGCATTGGCACTCATTGCAGCTCTGATGACAGCAGGCACAGTTTCCACCGCAGCGTTTCACCAGGAGACACAGTGGCCAGAAGATGGTGTCTGTCCGCTTCAGCTCCTCCCGCAGCGACACTGAGAAGTTGCGAGGGGTGCAGCTGTAGAGCCGCACCTCCTCCTTCAGGAGGTTGAGATCCACCACTGCCAAAAGACAAAGAAAGCAGTGCTTTTCTGATTCACAATCCAACTTCACTGGTGGTAAACCACCCTCAGCAGCGCAGGTGGGACAAGTTCAGCACGCAAGTATAATACTGCAGTTATATGAGTACCATGAAACCTAAATAGAATGATCATTTTGTACAAATATTCACCAATGATTTTATAACTCTGGCACAGTTGGATCGAATTCAACAAAGCAAGTTGTGTCTACTATGTTCCAATAAATGTCTTATCAAATCAACCATAATGGAGTTGCCTTCGCTCATGCTCATACTCTGAGCTCTAGTGTTGCTATTCTATATTAATTTTGGATTGGAGAATCACACACAGCCATTAAGAATCCTGCAAACCTTCAAAAACATTTTAAATTCATTTGCGTAAAGCATTCAAACTTCTTCCCTTCTACAATTTCAATTATTACTTCTTTGCCAGTGTGATGCAAGTTTAAGAAAGACTCAAACCTTTCATATCTAAGAGGAACTCATTTCTATGGACTAAGAACTTGAAGAAGTTATGTCAGCATCAGTGACTAGTGTATAGGTAACAAATAGTGCACAAGTATATATATAACTATATATAACTATTAGTAGACTTAATTTTCCCCCTCCTCCTTCATAGCAGCATATAAGCGCATCTTCTGCTTCTTCTCTAGGTTTCCTTTTCTTGATGTGTCTTAAATATGGTACAGCTCCTCCTTGTAAGCACCTAACTTGAAGTGCAAGTTAAAGATCCTTGTATTTGGCACCAGTTTCCCTGTTCTGCTGTATCACACTAAAGTTTCCCTATGCCAGTGGTTGAACAGCAAGCTCAAGAAAAGATCTGAAACAGGGCAAGCTCCTTAGACTCAATTTAGCTGCATGGGCAAGAAATAACACAGAGAACAGGCAGTCACGACTGAAAATATGGGATTGGTTTAGTGAACAAATTAGTACATTTTTTACTTTGGTGAAAAGCAATGCAATTTCATGTATTTCAGAAAAGACAGGCTATAATGATCAAGATCTGGGATCCTTTTTCTGAACTGTTTCTCTCCAAACCTACCACTGTTAATGAACACAAGTAATGTCCAATTCACAGAGGTGATTTATCTGGTAAAAAAAGAAAATGAAAACCCTATGATAATATGGCTACTGAGATGATTGAAACAGCCTCGAACAAAGCAGCAAAGACCTTTAAACCAACTCTTTTTGAGCTAAATCAAGAAGAAACTAGGGGAAAAAATATCCCAGTGCACTGATATTACCTGACAAATACTTTATAGTTATTGCTAACAGTTCGTAAACAAAAAGCAATAAAATACAGCTAAAATATGTTCCTGATCTGAATCACCCTCTAGAGAAATATCATTTGTTTCCCACTACCGACTGTGTAAAGAGCCTCCAGGGGTCACCAAGCAGAACTTCAGCCTATCAAGGCAAGGTAATACCTCTCAATTCTATTCAAACACACAAGAAATAAAGAGAATTTAGAAGCTGCATTTCTCTAGTAGAAATGCTCGCCAGTACTGTCCCAGAAGCAGGTCTTTGTACAGCAATTTCATTCCACATTTCTTCAAACAAATTTTTCACAGGCCATATCCATACACTGACATCCCTAAGTAAGGGTTTGTTGTTGTGAAAGGTCATTTAAACACACCAAAGCCTTTTCTCTGCTTGCACCTACAGTGAATGCCAAGCTGGGCCACTTCATTCCATCACTATCATGTTAACCCAGGCTTCTAAATAAACCACCTGATTTTTAAAAGCGAGGAGTGTGTAATAACTCCAATAAAGTTACTGATAGGACATCAGGCTGCCTCCTACACTGCAAGAGCATTCCTTGAAGAAAACTGAGAAGGGAGCAGAGGAAAAGAGAGACAAAACTTCCGGGGGAGAGATTCACTGTGAGAAATTAGAAATGATTTAAGCTCTTCTGATCAGCTAATAGCTCCAGGCTGAGTCATTTAGAGGGTGGACATGTCTACCTCCATTAATCAAGGACTGCGGATAGGAATGGAGTACTTCTTTCTCCCATTACATTTTCAAACATATAAGTGAACTGCCTGAATGAGGATAAAATGCCTAAAACACAATGAGAGAAATGCTAGTTCTGCTAATACTTCCTACTGGTTGATTGCTACAGAGACTGACTGCTTGGTACAGGGAATTTTAGGAAGTTAATTTTATGCATCTTAACACAATTGCTGCTCAGCCCTTCAGCCTGAGAAGCTGGGCACTGATGTCTCTTCCTTCCAGCAAGCCCACCCACCAGTGGGAGAGAGACCCCTGCGTGGGGTTGTACTTCTCCCCTGCCTCCTGGCAGCAGCACAGGAATGCGCCCATTGCCCAGTTCAAGCTGTGGTTACAGAGGAAAGGGCAAAGCACTGAAAGGAGCAGCGAGTGTATACATTTTGTCACAAAACTGGAATGAATTTCAGCTGAACCCCTCAGACCTGCAGACCCAAATTTTTAAAAGGCTCTGTGAAAGAAGACATAATCAGCTCTTAGCAGATGTATTTAATGTGCCTTAGTGTTACAGCAGGCTTCAGGAGAGATGAAAAATGTCACGTTTGGTTTCCATGCTCCAGAGTGTGCTAAGGTATATTGCTATTATACCTCACAATGAACCCTTGCCCTACCTCATGTAATTCAATTTCATTAAAAGGTCTGTGGCAAATTTATCTAGTGCTTATATAATCACTTCTTTGAAGTGTGTGAACGAAGCTGTTATTTTTTCAAAGAGTATCTGTCTGTCCAAAATTTATTTTAACACACTGTGGGCACGAAGCTAGATGAGAGAATGTATATATTCCCTTAAAAGTGTTTACTTAACCACAATAAAAGGTTATGTGGATTTCCCAAGTGCACTGAGTTACAGTACCTGTTATAATGTGAACATTTAAACACTCCTTCAACTTGGCTTCCACTCATGTATCATGTTTGACACAACAGCCAAAGCTCTTTTGTCTAGCGCTAGCTCAGGAGGGATGGAGGGCTCTGCAGTAGCACAGCAATGGGAAACACTACAATAAAAATAAGGGGAGAAGGGGGAAAAAAGGGAGAAAAAAAAGGAGAAAAAAAAGTAGATGCAGGTAGGTCTATAGCAAAGTCTGTTTCAGAAATGTGTTTTCACTGGAACATGGAACTGAAGTAATCCACGTGCACATCAGCCTGAATTAACCGTGTTCTGCAATTGGCACTGCAACTGCCTGGCATCCTTTGGGACATGCATTGAGGGGAACCTTCTTTCCCAAAACATTTTTCCAGCTGGATGCTGCTCTCAGCGTCAACAGAACAAATTAAATTCTGTTGGAGGCACTTGTGTGTGGGCACAGATAGCAGCAGGATGCCTTGCATTCCTAAGCACCTTGGAGATGCTCCTGGGAGTGTGAGTTGCAGGCTGGCTCCTACAATAGGATGGGGCTGTTACAAAACTCCAGATGAGGAGTGCAAAAATAAAGTCACATAACTATATGAGAAAAGTATCTACTAAAGACTATGGTTGGATTGTGACCCTTTCTTAAGCAAACTTCAGAGTATGGTCTAATGATTATGCATAGATTTCTGTGGGAAGCGATGGGATCATTTTTTTTGCACAGCAAAATGTATTTTAAGTATGTTTAATATCATAAAAGAATTCAGGATTATATTTAGACATCAAAGCCTCAGAACTTGGTGTTTCTTTTTTCCTGGCTAGAAGGTTTTGGAAGCATTTTATCCAGAGAAAACATCAGAGACAGAAGTCCTGTGGAATTTAGGTTGTCTAAATATAGTCTTTTTTATATAAATTATTAAGTAGGAGTAGAGGACAATACACTTCTCTACATAAAGTAACATACACTTTCAATTACATTTTTATTTAATCTAGATTTAAACTGATGTTTGTCTATGAAAGCAGGACACTAATTTAGCTTTTACACCGAGATACTGCAAAAATAAAAGTGATCTAATTATAGAATCACTGAGTTTGAAAAAACCCAAACATTTTAGGGCATGCACTTCTTCCAGATGTTTCTTTAAAAGGTTTTTAAATACAGCAAACATATTACTAGAAGGAATAACATTTTTTTAAAAAAAAAGAGAAGAAAAAAATAAAGAAAAAAATAAGGTTTTCTTTCCCCATCTATTGAACAGACCCACCAGTTAATACTGCGTCATCTCAACTGGACGGATTTTCTGCCTCAGGCTATTACATTACACACTCGGTAATGCAGTCTGAGGGTGGTCTCTTAAAGATAAATGTGGCAATACCCTGATATGTTTATTCAGTGGAAAAATCTATTTCAGCATCTAATTAGAAGCCTTCAGAAGATTTACTCTGATAGCTTCTTCCTAAGATACGTCTTGCAGGGAGGTGCTTTTGTCTATACAGATGTTATCCAACACCTGCATTTTAGCTTATGCAAGGTTTCACAAATTCCATTTTGTTTTTCTCCCACTTAATGTATGCTTATAGCATAGATTTGGCAAATACCAAATCTCTTTAATTAGGAACGTGTTAAACGACTATCTGAAAGGCATGGTCCATTGCTGAAAGCTTTTAAAGACATTTCCTCTTCTTTGACTCTTGACTTAGTTGCTGTGCACAGAGCTGAAGCAATTACCAGTGGGGTAGAAGGGTTGATTTTTAGGCTCTGATCCAAGAATTAGCTGCCAAAAACTTAAATTGGAGTTATGAAAGGTTCTACTTCCTCCCTTTTCTTGCTGATCAGATGCTAATCTAGTTTACATTTGTCAACAGTCTATTCAGTTATGCTCGTATGTTTTAATACGCACGCTGTATGGTGGAAGGAAGGAGGTACTGCCTGCATGCTGTCCATAAACATGAAATAGAGGGCAGCATCTGGACCATATGTGGTAAAAAATTCATGAATGTCAAATATAGATGGAAAAAACTTTTTTTCAAGAAATAGCTCCACAAATCTTGAAGGACATAATCCACATCTGATTAAGCTGACAACTGCATGACCAAACTGGACACGGACACAGGGATTCATGAGATATCAAGGAAGAGAAACATTTAGCTCATTGCTCTCAATCCATATGGGGTAGAGACTGAAACAATTCTAAGGAAATAAAGCAATAATTCACATGATACAGGAAGTGTAAGAAATTATCTACCTCAATACAAAAAACAAAGTTTTTGTCCTTCGTAAAGAAAGAAACCCACAGAACTAGGTTATGTTATCCAGCCAAGATGCCCTACTACTTGGTGGAAATAAAGATCTCCCAGGTTCCCTACAGAAAACCACCCTGCCTGCCTCTATTTTTTTCCTTTATTACTTTATCCTACTAAATTCCTTCCGTTTCGAGTTTAGTAATTGCCCTTTTTCAGATACTAATGATAAGAATAGCTAATAACGACGACGTATTTCTAAACATAGTCTTTTCTTGCAACCAAAATTCAAGGTGAAGAATACTCCTAATCACCGCTTCTTTGTGAAGAACACACACCTGTAGAAAGTTGCAAGGCCAGACAGAAGAGTACTTTACCTCTTGACTTCCTCCCATGAATATAGGCCTTTCCAAGGAGTTGCCATGTCGGCCTGTACAAATCTTCCAAATCCAGCTGCCACCGATCTGGTTCGAGGTACCGGATAAGTTCTTCCACGGTGCTAAACCCGGCGACCGCGTTGTTTAATACATCCAGCGGTAACGCTGATGGGGGCAGCAGCGATGGGCTCGGGGCTTCTGTGTGGTGCTGCAATCAAAGCCAAAAGAGAACCAGTCAGAGGGTTAATGGATCAGCTTGGGTTAAATGCTCTACTTCATGAAGTTGCATAGCTGGGAAAGCTTGGAAAGAAGCTATACACTTGAAATGTATGGTTTACCTAATAAGACAGATTACAAGAGTCAAAAAGTACCTAATAGTTCTTCAGTGATAAGTGTAAATAAACTTCCACTAGACAGTTTTACCCCTTCTTTACATTTTATCTTTGAAGATAGCAGGCCACTATACCTGTACTCTGAAGAAGTTCACTCAGTGATGGACAAGATTTTAGAAACAGAGCAGAGAGTGATTTGAAAATATGGCCCCATTACAAGGAATTACTGCAACCCTCTAGAAATCTGAGAGAACACACATTTCACATGCTGCCTTTCCTATGAAACTTAGCCACAGTACTGAGTTATGTTTCTGGTTAAACAATAATTAACAGAGGAATAACAGCATCTGGCATGACTATAGTTAATTCTCCCTTAAGAAGAAAAAATAAATGTTCCCAAGGACATCAAAAGTACTTAAATACTGGAAAAGTCTATGCACTTACAGCACAAATCTCACTGACAACCTCACTGGATCAGGGGTACCCAGTGACAGGCGATTCAAGCAAAGTGAGACTTCTGGTTTTGCTCACTCTACAATCTGTTTAAAAATGAGGCACTGATTCATATTTTCAAAAGATTTTTTTAGGCTTTTATACAGGCAGACATCACTGCAGACATGAGGTCCGCAGTACTACACGAGAGCAATTTGTCCGGGCCATGTAAGAAGGATGAAGAAAGATTTGAACATGCTTTAGGGGATGGGAAGGACAAGAAATCTCAAACTTAAATGTGTGGTGCTACATGCATCGGTGCTCTCAAAGGTGGGCCGTATGAAATTTAGGGAAAATTTATTCACTGGAATTAGTCAGGTTTTGGAAAAGGTTGCCCAGAAAGGCTGCACCGTGTCCATCATTGGAGGCTTTCCATACCCAACTGGGTACAGCCCTGAGCAATGGTCTGGGTACTGCCCTGAGCAATGGTCTGACCTCAGAACTGACCTGACCCTGAGCAGGGGGTTAAACTGGGACCTCCTCAGGTCCCAGGCT